ACTATATGTAGTTTAATGAGTGTGTACAAGGAACATTTACATTTTTAAAAGTTCTATATCTATAAGTAAGTATTTTGCATGGCACAGTCAGCTTTAATTATATTAAACATAATTTTTCAATGACAGCTGGAGATAGGCTCCAGCACCCCTCGCAGCCCCAACAGGGATAAGTGTGACATAAGATGGATGCATTTTCTAACAACAACATTGTGGCTAGTGAAAATGCTGAGTGACTAATAACTTTGGAAAATCCATAGCCACCATGGCCAGTAAGCAAAAAAGTTAATGCCAAGCTGTGTATACATATATTAGTGGTGATAAAATGACAGAACAGACAAACATACTCTCTTCAAAACAAATAAGTTAGATTTTTAATTGTGTTTACAGATACGCAATTGTTTAATTATAAAAGTTCATTTTGCTACCAACTTAAACTTTCTTGCATTTAAAAGTGTAGCTATGTACACCGAGTCAATGCTTATACTATTACATCTAGCTGTAATTGCAAGTTTTAGAGTTGCTCAGAACTAGATATTGACCAGTCAGATTTAAAGAGAGCATTTATGGAGATGAGTTTCCAAATATTTCCTCAAAGTCTTCATTCAATTGAGCTGTGGGATTTGACTAGGTCATTGGATTTCGAGTGAATCACCATTAAGGATATTTAAGAGGCAACCATCAGCTAACCTGCTAGGATTTTCTGTGCTAAAACCAAGCTTTCATAAGACAGAAAAAAAACTTTGGTGCTAGGTGGAGCTGTAAGGTCAGAGGTCGGCCAATTGTCTGCCTGTTCTATGGTGAAGCCAAAGTTATAATTCCTATAGCAGGGGGCAGTTCTACACTGAATTACTCACAGGGCAAGACCCCCTCCAAACACAGACATAGGCCCAGACAACACCTATTTGATGCAGCTTTGGCTTGATGCAGCATGGGTGTTTTACTCATCCAATTGTCATGTATATATTCAGAGACAAGTAGGTGTTCGCTTTCAAATAATGTATCACACATGTAATCTGGGCTTACAGTTCCGAAGTTATTTGCTTTTCCATTTGGGTATGCAAAAATAGGCGAGAATTTCCCAAACTGAGGAGGATATTAAAGTGCTTTACAAGAAAAAGTGGAATGTTATTGTTGGTAATAAATGCTCCTTTCGCTCCTACAGCATTAGTCACAAAGAAAATGACTGTCTTGGTCAGCTGCCTGGCTTTGAACTCTATATGGACGTGAAGAAGCTGTTCTTATTGGTGTGTGATTATAAAGGTCCACCCAATACATTAACAGAACCTTTCTATAAACTGACTCAAAAAGGAAGGCAAGTTGAGTGGAAGTACATATATGGATGCAGCATCCTGCCACGCCAGAGGATTTCTTTTGGGATGATTCTGGAGAGAAGAAGCTGAAACTTTATTTTATGATTTAATAAATAGATTTTTCACTTTTTGATTGAAGAGCCTCATCTACCCAAGTTTTTATTTGGTAAGTGTTCATCGCTCTATCATATGATTTTCTTTTTCTCAAATGAATCAAAGTGACTGAAGGCACATTGCTGAGGTATTTCGGGCACATTTATCAACCCTTTACTCTGGGTAAAGACCATATCAGCAGACATATCAGAATATTTCAGAAAATAGTTCAAGGGAAAATCCTCTTTAAAAAACCACAATGACCTGACATACAATTGTTTTAATATTCTTTTTACACATGAGTTGGTGATATGTTGGTGGTGTGGATAATGCTGGATGTAGAACACGTGGCTTGTGTCAGGCTTTAGAGCAGGGGCGGGCAATTCGAATTCCAATACACTACAAAAAATAATTAGATGATTAAGATGACTTTGCGTACTGAGGAGGTATTCAGCCATTTGATTCAAATGCTTCGGACTAAGGAGGAATCCAAATGTTGCAGGATATCAGCCCTCAGGGTATGGAATTGTCCAATCCTTTAAACTAGGGCTGGACACACTATGCTTTGATCTATACCAATCCTGTAAAGCTGTAGCTCTTTGCTTTGTGCTATTGTCCTGCAGGAAAGTGAACCTTCCCCAGAATTCTTTACTTTAATCGTTTTGCTGCCGTTTTTCTATCCAAGCTGACGGCATGAAATTGTTTCATCGTTGGAATGGTTTGTTCACAGTTTTATGCAGAGTTTTTTTTTCCTATTGTTTTTATTTGCTCTATTTCAACCAAATCGTCTTCTTTCAGCTTTGACGGATTTCGTCAAAGTTGCATTTGATTGATTCACCTACCTGAACTTTGAATCCCTGCCCTTTCTCAAGAGTTATCATTGGTCTCTTCACTTTTTTCTCTGATTAATGCTGCCCTTGCTTGCCCTGTCACTTTAGGGTGGACAGGCTTGTCTTTGGTAAATCTGCAGATGTGCTAGACTTACCATTTTTGAATGATGGATGTGGAATGGGATAAGATGGAATGGATTGATTTCGCAGTAAAAAAAATTTACTGATTACAGCTGCTTCTAGTACGGTAACACAAAAAGTGAGTGCAGATGGTGAGGAAATGTAGGATTGACAAAAAAGTTCTAAACAGAAAATAAGTGATAATAATAGAATAATGGTACCTTATGTACACAAAATTAACTTTATGAAAGAAATAAAATACATATAAATGATTAAAGCCTATTTTTTATAACCTTGCCCTATAATTCCTGACCTTTCTCCTATATTGCTTGATCCTACAGTAATGCGCTGCTGGCCTCTTTTCTTTCAGCAGCATCTACAGAACATGTGGTTTTATACTAACTTGCAGTTTATCTAATCTAATTGGATTCCTTCTGATGATTTTTTTTTTTTTTTGCAAATTTTTATGCAATCACTTGAGAATAAAGGGAAATAAAACAAATGTGCGTTTTACTCTTTAGATTTTTATTCTTGACAATTTTTAAAACCATATAATATCTTTCCTCTACTTCATGGATATGTGTCACTTTGTCTGGGTTTATTGCTAAAAATTCTGGTAAAACACATAAATAGTAATTCTTTAACGGGAGAAAATAAAAGAAAAATACATCTACAAATTATCTCTAAATATTATTCAGTTAGAACTTGCTTCTTATATATCATGTCCAGTAAAAATATAAAAGGTTGATAATAAATGGAAAAATGCGAAGTTACAAAATGCAGTAAACACTTTGATTAGCAAAAGTTTCATTTATTCTGCGAAGATAAACTGAAACTATATAAAATGCTGTAAATCTAAATTGTACATTTTTTAAGCTACATGTTTCTTTTTTGTTTTCAATTGATTTTCCTCTAAAGCTTTCCAAAGAAAATCTATATCTACTAACTAATTAATCATAGGGATTATTTTATTTTTACATGTACTAATGTGTTGGTAAAGGGGTCTAACACCAAGGAACAGCTGTATTATCTGACATTGACTATTCATCTAGCTATTTATTATGAATCTTTGTGCATTTCTGACTGTCATCCTCTAGATGGCTGTAATTCATCAGAGTTTAGAGATTAATATAGAGGAAGTAACACACCAGTATCTGTCACCGGAGTGAAAATTGATCAGATATGACTGAAATCTTCCTTTCCCTGCAAAATACATTCCCAAACATAGTATTTCTTATTGGTTTATTTTCTTTATTCACATGAATCTCTGGAAATTGTAAAAGTAACACGCTGGGTTTCTTTCCACCAACCTGTATCATGACTCCTTGTTTCCAACATGAATTATCACATTTCCCAGGTGTCCATCCTCACACACTCTGACAGTTTGGCTCCTATGTTATTGTGAGACATTACGCTGCATCTCTGTTTTTCTCATGTGAAACTATGATTCATTTAGTTTAATGCCATTTGATTTAAGGCTTTTGTTTGGAAAGAGTTACATCATCTGAAAATGCAGAAGTAAGCAAAACCAAACTACTCATACTTGCTGAGACAGATTTATTTCTCTCCTGATTTGCATTTTGTTTTTCATAAACACAAGGGAGGTCTATTGATGTGAAATGACCTGGACATGCACAGCTGCACCTAACCTGACCTACACCCGTATTTTGTTTTGGGTTTTTTTCATTCACACACAACATTATTTGTTATTAAAAATGTAAAAAGCTCTATTTACCTTAGTTTAACTTTAAGATTGTTTAGCTGCACAGAGAAGCTTTTAGATACTGGAAAGTAAGGATAATAAGTATCTGGTAAATGGTCTGTTATAGTGTTTATTGATCGTTCATTAAAAAATGGTAAATGTATGTCACTTTAGGTGTATTGATGTCTTTAGGTCCTGCTTCAGGTCTGATGACACATACCCGAACCAGAACCCATCCTGTTTTTCTGCCATAAAACTTTCCCCGAGCAAAGAACAAACAAAGAAAGTGAAACCACAAGCACTGACCTCAAGCAGAAATTTTGTGTACATGGGAACTTTTGCAGGTTGCAAATAGTAAACAGTGTTGTGACATTTTGCTAGTTACTCACTTTATTTGAGTCTGACATTTAGCCTGCTAAGACAGGAGATATGATATGGATTTCACTCTTTATCTATTTATGCAAACAGATATTAAAGATAATGGGATATTCCTTGTAGAATTTTTTGCATCAGTGTAATTTTTGTTATGTTAATATGCTGTGTTGGGTACTTCTCTAGTTGATGTTTCCTACAAAAAATATAAATAATTGAAGTAAAATATTCCTAAAATAAAGATAATGGTGGAATGTTGGTGCTGACTCCATAATTCTAATTCAGATTGACTAAATCTGATGAAATCTGTACATATTTGGGGAAAACTCTTCAGATATGTTAGAGGAATGGTTTGCAGAGTTGGAATATACACTCAAAGATCCTTAATTATTCTCATAAAAAATAAGGAAGTTTTATGATTCATTCAAGTGAATGTCATGATTCTTCTCCTCTTTTTCTCTCCCTGGTAGTCTTGTTCCTCATTTCGGTGAGACTTGTGGTGAGTGGGAAGAAAAGGGCCAGCCCCCAGAGAGACGACCTGGGCCTACTGTGTCTGCCTTCACTTACACAAAAGGGAAAGTACCATTTGGATCACTCTTTGTTGTTCATATACATAGAGCAGAACAGTCCGAACATAAAACATCCTCATCGAATCACGCTCAGAGCTCAGGAAACGATCTTGTACTGCTTGGGTGCACACCAGAGGAAACTCGGGACTTGTAGAGTTGTTACTTCTAAACATCTGTCTTCCTGCGCTCCCCGGGCTCAGACAGCTCTGAACGCAGCCATCGGACGGACCATGCCACAGAGGAGCCTGCATCCCCTGGTCTACATCCTCCTGATTTGGATCAGCATTCTCACCATACTCCTGCCCGTGTTCATCACCCTTAGCCTTTCATTGAGACAGGTGAGCCTTCTTATTCAAGCTTCTTATTTATGTGTAAAGAGCAAAAATATAGGATCGACAAGTTACACAAAAACTGAATTTCTTTTTAGCGGCACATTTCTTATATTTCAATGAAGTACCATAGTACCTCAGCGGCGCCTCTGTACTTTCATGTGGTTTAGGCAGTAGCTCAGCTGGGGAGAAACACACCTGTGGTACGCACTGCTTACAGACCCCTGTCATGACTCAAGTAGTCAAAGCTTTTCTCAGAGTTCAGACAAAAATAAAGCCTTAGAAAGATTTGCACATTTTGCTAAGATGATACAAACAATTTCTTCTGTAACTATTTAGCAGTTTGAAAGAAAACTATCACATTGAAAGCATGTCAGTGCCAGATTAGACTGTACCATTTAAGGAGTTTTAACAACTGTAGATAAGAAAAGCTTCATTTCCAACCCTATTTTGTAACTTCCTCTGGTGCCATGTATCATGGGTGGATTTTGTGCTTCTGTTTCCTTTTCCAGTCTTCGAACAATTGCACTCTAGGGTGCCCAGCCCCATTAAACTATCCAGCGGTAAGATAATTACACTTTCAATCTCTTGCTCCCATTGACCTCACTGTGTTCAGATCTCTAGTCTCAGAATTTCATACAATATCTTAGTGATCAAAGTACCATCATTTCTATTAATTTATTTATGCATGTTTCTCTAACATTTGTTGCCCAGGTGTTACAGAAACCTAAATCCTAGAGAGCAAGCAGATTGATCTCAAATGACTTATATTTCTTTCTGCGTTACTTGTGTCTGCTAACCACTCTCCTCATGTCTTGGAGGAAGCATGTTGACGTCATTGACACATTCGGGGAAATGTCACTAAACTAAACAGATGTCTCTTCATTTTCCTCTTTAAGATCTATTCTGTTCTCTGTCTGAAGGCGTAGGTGGTGGCCAAATCAGTAAATGAAATAAATCAAAAGTTAATGGGACTGCTGTGTTTGTAAAGTATGAATATGAAGCTCTTGACTCTAATTCCTCTTTTTGTTTAACAGTGCTCCAGTGAATTACTCAACCTTCAAGCTAAAGGTAAATCTTTTTATTTGTGTGAAATGTTGTACCGCATTACTGCCACTACAATTATTTCTATTTTCATACAATTCAGTCATAAAAAAGGCACATTTCCATTTAACAACTTTTTCCTCTCCTACCACAGATTTAAAGGGACCCCAGAAAACCATTGAATGGACCATGAAACAAGATAACTCGACTCTTATATCAGAAAAACCTCTCAGGATAATTAAGGACGGAAACTATATCCTGAATCTTCGGGTAACATTGTCTTCATGCAGCGACCAAGTCGTGTTACACAATGTGGCCCTCGTTTTGGCAAACAAGCAAAAGGATTGGACTAGCATTAAATCAAACAGCACAGGCCTGCTCAGCAAAGTGTTACGTCTGGCAGCAGGGGATAAGTTGGAGATCACTATTGAACCACCTGGATGTGTTGACATCAGAGAAGAGGTGACCCATCTGGACATGGTTTGGCTGCAATCACTAAAGTTGTAGCTCATCTGGACCCTTCCCTCTACAAAAGCCCTTCTCCAATTAAACAAGAGTTTAGTGTGTATTGATTTCTTAAGATTAAGTTTTTTCTGTTTTTTGGATTAAATTAGCAAATCACTAAACTGTTTAAAAATGAGAGGGTAGATGTTTAAAGTAGTTTGGAAAAAGCAGCTCAACTCAACTTCAGAGAAGTCCATTGTTGGAGAAGGATCCATTTTTTCTCAAATTGTAGCTTAATAATTTATCTTCAAGAAAAAAAACTTTTATGAATCTCAGGGGATTCACATTATCACTACAAATCGGTTTCTTGTTTTATTGTGCCTTATGGCTGCTTTTTTTTAAATAACTATTTATGCTAATCCAGTACAATGAGCAGAGAGAAAGCTGTAACACTGAGGAAGTAGAAGAATTTTTGTTTTTCTTTTCTTTTTACTCACCTCTGTCCTTTAGTTTGGTGATACAGCCTTACTAAATTATTTAGATTTGATTTCTTGACTTTATTTTTGCGTTATATTTGATTGCTACAAATATTGGCAAATAACATATTCTTTTTCTAGAAAAATATAATAAACCCCACCATTTTTTTCAAAATCTTGATATATTGACTTTATATTTTATGAATATATATATTTATGCTGAAGCTATTTATTATTTGGACCTGACTTTTTTTACACACAGTACATTGTACATAGTAAAATTCCACCGACAGATCAGCTGATACTCAACGAATGTATGACATTTAGTGCTGCAGTGTGTTCCTGTGCAGCACACATTATATGTATTTTTATTGATGACTCACCGGGATGTACTTAAAATATCTTCATGACGTCCATGTAACTGCATTTTTTATGATGAAAGGCGTAGATTCCTTTTATTGCTTTGAGACATATTTGCGGTACACTTTTCATTTTTTTTTTAGCCTGTTGTGTTTTATATTTAAACTACAGCACCTACGTAACTTGACTCATGTTTTTTATTGATATTGTTAAAGTTGCTCAACCAAGTTAACCTTCTACTTCCTGTTATTGCTTGTGTTACACAATCAGATACCGAAATTCTCAGATTTTTGGTCATTAAAGCAGGTCTTTTCTGATGTGTAGTAAATAAAAGTTTCTTTTTCATCCTTGGTTGTCTTTTGTTTTTCATTTAGATGTTAAAACCCCTTATTTTTTGCACTTTTAGAATCCGACATAAAAGTATTAATAATGCTTTGAAAATGTAACACACCCAGTTCAATTTGATGAACTGCCCGCAGTGATGAGAAAGACAAAATCACAGCGATGACTTATGTCGTTTGAGTGAGTCATTTTTTAAGACCCCAAATTTAAAGCGAAAGTGAGAGGTTATAAGTTAATTGTGGCGCCGGATTAGAAAAGGAAAGTTACGCTGGGACCCTCCCTGTTATATGCTTTCGAAGAATATGCCCTCCAGACAAAACAGCAACACAGATCTGCTGCTTGAAAAAGAACACAGCCTCATATCTATTGACCTAAATCAAAATGATTACTATCTTCTAGAGAAAAGGTCACCGGAACATGACATTAGTCATCACAGCCAGGAAAGATATTTTCCAAGTTGCTGAAAGCTTTACTTTTCCAAACCTCAGTTTGCACTTGTTGCCTCCAAAGGTTTCGTTTAACTGAAATTATGTCCAATGCGACATAATAAAATGCAGATAGCAGAAATACCCACTTACACACACCTACTCTGTCTCATTTATTACAGCTGTTTGCACAACCTGGCTTGTCCCTACTTACTTTCCACACTGCAGAGGCAACAACTGCGCATCCCACTGCAGAGTTAAAATAGGCATCGTCTTTCCATACATTATTTCCACTCAGATATCTCATAGCAAGCTTCGGTGAAGTCCTTATAAGTAGATTTGATTAAAAACTTCCACTTTTAGGGATTTTCCAGTTCGTAATCACAATGGACCATGTGTTAATTTTCAGTCATTTTCAATCCTCTCTATGTGCTAATACTGGAAATAATCCTAAATCTAATCATTAGCAGTACATTTCTAACCCTAACCTTAACCTGAACTTAATTCACACCATAGTCCCAAACCAAACCCTTAGCAAAAATCCAAAATGAGGACCTTTAAAATGTCCAAACTTTTGTACAAATCATCCTCTATTTGATGGTGAAATCAGTTAAATTGGTCCTCAGGTCTTTGTGAGGCCTTTTCTATTGACTTCCATTCATTTCTAACAACCTAATTGTGACCTTTACACTTAACTCAACTATTATGGGTTCATACCTAACCACAACCTGAACTCAAATCCCATCCTAGCCCTAAAGGTGACCCCTGACCCTAAAACAACAGTTTCCCTCATGAGGCCCAGGCATTGGGTCCCATAAAGAGCAGTCGATCCTCACAATGTGCTATTTTTTCAGAAAATGGGCCCCATAATGTATCAAATACAAGTATTTCTGTCCGTATAAGGACTTTATGTTGACTTTCATCCATTTTAGTTTCTGCATTTATGCCTAACTCTGAAATTTAACCTAACCCTAGCAGCTATCTCTATAATTCTAATCCCAACCTGTAGTGAATTTAAACCATACCTCTAAACATTAAAAATGGGGGTCCACTACATCAGCCTTTGGTCCCCGCAGTGTCATAAGTTAGTAAGTAACTATAAGAAAATGGTCCTAAACAGGTAACATAAACAGGTACACAAACATCTTTTTATATCTACACCTATTAGGCACTTGCTTTCACTGATATCTATTTTAGTTACTGCATTTATTTCTCATTCTGAGATTTAACCTAAACGTAACAGTTATCCCTAAGTTCCCAACCTTAATCCACAGTTAATTCACACCAAAGCTCTAAACTGACTCTTTAATATTAAAGTGAAGGTCGACCAAATTAGGACCAGCTTTTGGTCCTCAGAAGGTTAGTAAATATAACATAAGTTATCCTAAATAGGTAACAAGAACAAATTCACACACACCAACATTTCTTATATAACTAACACCATACATTGTTTTTCAGTTCTTTTTTATGTTGCTTTTTATTAGGGATATATTCAATATTTGATACAATAATTTAATTTATTAAGAAGCTTTTAAAACCAAACCTTTTGTGCTTCAAAGGAAATGGCCGGGTAAAATTTATAAATCCTTGTGACGCGCTTCGCTTTACGACCTGCCTTCAAGAGTTTCTCCTAATAAAAGAAAATGAGCATTTGAGGTTGCAGTAGAGACATTGAGGCCCAATTGGATTTACGTTTAGACTCCAAACCCCTATTCTGTTATTTTTCATTAACCCAAATGAATGAGCTTAAGGTCATAAACTGATGGTGTGAAATTAGGAGCCAAATATAGTGTATCTAGTATTACAAGCTGTCATTTCAGGTCCTTTCAAGACCAAGATATTCACACTTCTTTATGCTAAATGTAGTGGGATGTAAAACCTTTCAAGAAGTTCCTCTTTCTGCTTTGTCAACCCACAAACAACATTTCCCCAAAGTCCTGGAGATCATCGTAGTTTGTTTTGTTTGGCCAATTGTCAGGTTGGCTATTGTGTTATTCTTCATTAACAGTGATGATCATCTAACACAGATAGCACCTTATTTCTGCATCTTAAGAAGACTTAGGCAAGTGTGGGCATAAAGTTCTTTAAAATGTTGCTTTGACCTCCTGAATGAGTTCTCACTGCACTCTTTGTGTAGCTAATTTTTGCTGAGTATTCCTGGAACTGTTTCGCTCTGGTAATTGTTTTATACATTTTTGGGCAATGTCTCACTGTTAGTCACTGGAATATGAAAGGCTGAGAAAGTAGCTTCACATCTGTTTCCAAGTTGATGTATACTTTTCATTTATTCTAATTTTATTTGGCTTGGAGTATAATTTCCTGCAACCTTTTAGCCTTTTAATGTTGGCACACATGTTCTATTCTGATTCCACAGTTGAGCCTATAATACATTCTGATGAGGCAATAGAATTAAGTAAAAAAGGTGGTTAATCACACCTATTTCAAGATTTCATGAATGTAAGGTTGCTTTAACAAACAACTAAGTTGATCTAGACAGAAATTTTTCTGTGATACACAAAATAATAATTTGGTATTGCCCTTGGATTTCTTCAAGCTTTCTGAAACAGCTAAAAGTATAGTGGAATGTGTTCTTTTTCTGGGTGCATCATCAAAATAAGTGGTCCTCCTAATTGTCAATCGTCCTGGCAATACGTTTACGTAGGACCATCTTACGTGCTCGTCCCCATTCACTTACAAGTGCTGAGTCTGACATAGTGGTAAAATTGCAAAACTTCTTTTGGTAAGTAAGCTTGTATGAGCAATGCAAACAGCAACTTCTAAACAGAGCGTGCGCCAGGAGAAATGGGCTTGTGCATGCTCTCACACGCATATAATGGGTGTTCCCTCTCCTTAGTGGGTACGCTGTGCATGTGCATTCTTTTTCAAAGTGGAGAGGGCGGGTCTTTTAAAAAATTTGTAAAAATCCTCCACTATACAGTATCTTTAACTATAGAAAAAAAGCAAAACCTGACTGAATATC